TCTTATACACATCTAGGGGAGTGGACGTGCGCGGAGGAGAGTGTTGGGTGTGCGCCCACCATCAACCCATGAATTTCCACCACCCCCCACCCCCCAAACCCAGGAATTTTTGTCTTGCAGCTCGTTTTTCAAATTATGAAGCTTGGTTAAGCGATCCTCACTGTTTTCTCTGTGGAGTCGGGGAGATCTCGACAAGCGCAGTCCAACCCCATCATCAGCAAAAATAAATTACAAAAAATTGACCCGGTTTTGGCCCCAACCGGATTTCTGGTTGGACCACCCGGGTTCCAACCGGCCCGGTTGGGTCCGGTCCAGTCCAACCGGCCGATGGCCGGTGGAGCTCTGGAAAAAGACAAATTGTGGCGGGTGCATCTGGACATGTTCTAGGGGGAAGTTAATTCTCATTTTGCACATTTTGAGAGTTGTGTGGCGATGCCCTTATTCTTGTCATTTGGTTGCATTTTGGATTCAAACTCGGTCAAGGGGCCTCGCCACACCACTGTCGAAACCAAAAAAGTACCAGTGCATCTTCATGCACAGAATGGCAAGATGCATTCGTTACTATGAATACCGAGGGATGCACCTTACCACGTTCTTGGGTAGATGCATTCGTTCTTTTCTCTTTTTGACAGTGAGTGTGGTGATGCCCTGTATTTCAGCAATTCACGGGTGTACGAAGTGAGCTACAGCGGTATGTTCGTTTTTCTTTTCCAAGTAGCCCTTTGAGGGCGGCTTTAGAAGCAGCGTCAGGCAGTTTGTGACACGGTCCCTCCCACAAAGCTTGAGTCCTACACGTTTCATACATGCCCTGTATTTCAACAATTCAAGGGTGTATGAACTGAGCTACAGAAGTATGTTCGTTTTGCTTTTCCAAGTAGGCCTCCGAGGACGGCTTTGGAAGCGGCGTGAAGTAGTTTCTAACACGGCCCCTCCCGCAAAGCTCGGAGTCCTACACGTTTCTGACAAGCCCGGTCAGCGTCTCTTTTTCCCTTCTGTTCTTTTTAACGTTTCCTTTCTTCACACTCTGGACGGCAGAACATTTGCACTACCAAGGATTCGAGCTCCCGTCTGTCACTGAACATTCCACAACAAACAACAAAACAAAGCAAAACAAACAAACATCCCACACCCAAACACACTAACTTGCCCATCGAGGGCCACGCTTTAAAAGCGGAATCTGACAGTCACATCGGACGTCTCAGGACCGTTCGTGCATCCCACAACCCCAAATGGCGTGGCTGAAAACTGAAGCCCGGAAAGTTTTTGATGAACCAAACGTGTGAGATCAACATCCTACGGCCACAGAACTCCATTCGGGGCCATGAAGACGGCCTGCAGCCGATAAATTTATTTTTTTGTAGATGATGTACCTGACTTCATTTATGGCCGGACGCGAATGCATCTGACCGCAATTACTTCCCAAATAAGTAAACAAGTCCTAGTGTGAGTATTCCCTCAGTCCAGCCGGACGTCCGGCATTGTCTGGGTCCGGGTTCAGTGTACCGATGATGCATTCTATAGAGAAGAATGTTCAAAAATCTAAATAACAATGATTATAACATTCTGCAATGAAAATGAGCGATAGCAAACTTCAGAAACCAAGCTGCATCATACATATGAGACCAGATAGTCGTGACCTCGAACCGAAAACAGAATTGCATCACAAGTCCCACCAAATGATAGCACAGCAAAAGCTCATAAGTGACAATGTTCGAGTAGTCTCATCATCATCAACAAAGAACCAATGTCGACATCCTATCTGGCGCTCGGCACCCAGACTACAAATGGAAGATCCTATCTAGCCTATCTACAATGCCGCTGGTGACGTCAACAGCTCCCCGAAGTACGAGCAGATCTCAGCGAATGCCGTACGCTTCAAGCACCAGGTATGTCTCTCGTATCACTCACAACCTCGTTCCTCAATTCACAGATGCCACATGTGCCCCATCCAGCATACACCAGCGCAGCTCGGCTATGGCTGCCTGCTCCTTCCAGCTCGCCCATGAGTGTGTGAGCGCTGGCCAGCGTTAGCGCAGCAGCGCTTGCGCAGCATGCAGCCAGTGCCCGAATGTCCAATGCATGGGCAGACCCTTTCCTAAATGGAAGTGGCCTGCCTGCTTGCGTGCAGCTTGACTGCGCTGGGCCCCTGCCCAGAGGCTTCCGGTAGGCCCAGAGAGGCTGAGCCCCAGTCCAAACAAATCAGGCCCTCGGCCTGTGGTGGTTGCCCGCGGCCTGTGTTCGGTCCATGTAGCGAATCTGGCCCAGGGCCTGCCTCAGTTACATTCGAAAGAGGCAGCCTGGGCCTGGGCGCTCTAATCAGGAAGTCGCCCAATATCATACAGTTAAAAATCGTTGTTTAACTGCTGGTACACCCACTTATTTGTTCATTGACTAAGTTTAGACTCAACCAACTGGCGCTGCGCAACTGCCTGTTGACCCCATAAATGGCCTGTAGCCCTCGGTCGAGCCTGCCTTCACTTAGGACGGCCGACTGTGCTGAAAATATGGCCCAGTAGGGCATATCGAGGCCTTATGCCTCGCATTCCCTCCTCCATACTTCACTAGCCCTCTGAGAAGTTCATTCAATCTGGCGCTTTCCTTTCTGCAGTAACTTCTCATAGTGGGCGACAACCTGTGGAGCGGTCTGAATGAGTTCCTCCCGTGTGAACCATMTATCCTCCTTTGGATCAGTGTGATGTCTGAACCGAACTCGGTACTGCAGCTTCGGCTTCAGGGGACGTCCCCTGCCTGTCGGTCTTGCAACTGGCATTTCTGTGTGATCCACAATGTCGTTGATGTCCACCTCTCCATCCATGGTTGGGGGCAGCATTGAGCGACAAACTGGTCAGTTTCCCTGAAAGGTGTGAGCTTGGAGGAGTGAAAAACTGGGTAAGTGCGAAGGTGACCAGGGATCTGAACTACATATGAAGGCCCATCCGGATCATCCCCAACTATATATAGAACCTCCCAGGGTCCGAAGTACTGAGGCATGAGCTTGCGGGAGATCCCGTGCTCCTGACCCAGTTCTGAGGACTTTACCCAGACTCTGTCCCCTACCTGGAATGTAGATGGGCGACGGTGCTTATTCTCAGAATCTATCATCGCTCACTATGCCCTGTGCAGCTGTTCTGCTCCCTGTTGCATCAGTTGTTCATATCGATAGGCAAACTCTAGTGTACCAGGTGCAGCAGTCGGCTGGTTCTCAGGTAATAGGAAGTCAAGGGGTAGTCTAGGCTTGAAAGTTAGTAGCAGACTGTTAGCGCTCACCCCAGTGGCGCTGTGCACAGCGTTGTTGTACAGGCTGGCGATGAGAGCAAGTTTCTCATCCCAGTCGACCTGATTGGGCTTGATGTAGTGCCGCAACAGGTGTTGCACAGCGCGGTTCAGTTGCTCTGCTTGGCCATTCGCCTCTGGTTGGTTCCCGGAGGTCATCTGCAGCTGTGTACCCTGTTCTGCAGCTGCAGCCTTCCACAACTTGTGAATCTGACATCCCTGTCACTAACAATAGACTTAGGAAGCCCGAAGTCCCTGACCCAGTTCTCTTTGAACAGTTTAATCACATACTCCGTTTTGCCTATTGCAGGCATAGCGACTAACCTAGCATACTTACTAAACCTATCCACAATGGCATAAACATAGCGCATTCCACTCTTGCTGGTGACCAGTGTGTCCATGAAGTCCATAGACAGACTCTCACCGGGCCTTTCAGGTATCGACAGGGGCTTCAGAAGCCCAAGAGGGGCCTGTGTACGTGGCTTGTCTCTCTGACATACCTGACAGGTCTCTACGTACAGCTCGGCGTCTCTCATCATTGTGGGCCACCAGAACTGCTGCAGCAAGTTGGCGGCAGTCTTTTTATAACCAAAACGTCCTGCGGCATCATGACACTCACCTAGAAATAAACTACGCACAGACTCCCAATTGGGTACACACAAACGTTTATTCCCGGCCTTCTCAAGGAACAGCAGGCCGTTGACCAACTCAAACTCGGCTGAAGTCACTTTGTCCTTCGCCTCGAGTCTGCGTATGATCTCGGCCATAAATGGATCCTCGCGATAGGCTTCCACCAAAGAACGAGTAACATCGTCCGCAAGCCCAAACTCAGTGATCAGCACACCGAAGAAATCTGGACTACGCGACAGCGCACCAGCAACTTTGTTATACTCGCCTTTTGAGATACTGCGGCTCGAATCGAAGTCATACTGCTCAATGACTTCGATCCACCGTTTCAGCGCATCAGAGAGCATAGGCTGGGTTCTCATCCACTTCAGGGTCTGATGATCAGTCCTGACGTAGAAAAATCGCCCAAGGAGGTAATGCCTAAAATGGGTTAGCGCTTTATAGATCGCATAGAGCTCATTCTCATAGCTGGACTTAGCCAACTTCTGAGAGGGCATCTTTTTGGACATGTACTCGACAGGCCTCAACTTTGGCCCCTCCTGCTGCGCGAGCACGGCGCCTATGCCATATTGGCTAGCATCCGTGGTGACTATAAATGGCTTGTCGGGATCAGGAAGTTTCAAGACCTCATAGTGTGTTAGAGCATGCTTCAGATGTCTGGAAGCAGTCTCACACCTGTCTGTCCACTCCCATGGGGTGTCAAGGCGGGTCAGGTCCGTCAAAGGGGCGACAACTATACTATAGTTCTTCACAAAATTGCGATAGTAGCCGGTCATCCCTAAGAAGGACCTCATCTCAGTCACAGACTGAGGACGCCGCAAGTCACGAATGCTGGCCACCTTCGCGTCATCGGGCTTCAATCCCTCCATGGAAATCTCATGGCCCAAGAACAAGATACGGGTGCGGCCAAACTCACACTTCTCCCCGTTTATCTTGAACTTGTGCTCTTTGTCTAAATGACCAACGTGCTCCTCGACAGTCCTACTGAAGATAAGTAAGATCCGGTTCATTGCGTGCTGAAAGGTGCCAGGAGCATTGCAAAGGCCGAACGGCATCACCACAAATTCGTATAGACCGTACCTGGTCTGAAAAGCAGTTTTGTGTTGATCCTCAGGCCGTATTGCAATCTGATGGTACCCGGACTTCAAATCTATCTTACTGAAGTACCGACACCCTTGCACTCGGTCCAACAAGTCATCGATGCGAGATAGGGCTCTCTATTCTCGACAATGATGGCATTGAGGCCCCTATAGTCAGTGCACATCCTCAAAGTTCCCCCCTTCTTTGGTACAAATAGGACTGGAGATCCATAAGGGGAGACACTCGGCCGGATCCAACCCTTCTACACGAGTTCCTCGAGTTGGCGACGGAGCTCATCAAGCTCGCTTGGAGACATCCGATAGATCCTACCCTTCGGGATGCTAGACCCTGGGATAATTTCTATTGCGTGGACAACCTCCCTCTCAACAACCCCTTTCAGCTCTTCAAATAGATCAGGGTACTTAGCAACAACTCCCTCTATCTCCGACAACATTTTCACCGCCTCGCCTGTTGCAAAGACATAAACTAGATACATACCCTTTTGCTTATAATAATTATAGAACGCAGTTGCACACATGCATCCGTAGGACTCGATCAGACTACTTAAACTTACGCAGTCTGGCGGTCCCTCCACGGAGCAAAGTGTGTTTGACCACTTTTCGGTCCCAATCAAACTGGGGTTGTGCAACCGAGAGGTAGTAAATACCTAACAAGATGTCCATTGGGAGATCGTCGTTGACTAGGAACGAGACGCGATGTCTCAGTTCCCCTCCCACGTACGGGAAAAGACACTCGATGTCTTTGAGGTAGTCATTGACTACCATGTGCTGTTTGTTGGCACAGGTCGACTCCACAAGTCGACTCGGGCGCTGCACTTGCCCCTGTAAGCGCAGCCTCTCAACGCACGCGCGACTAATGAAGTTTCGTGTTGAGCAAGTGTCATAATAGGCCCCGACCTTGCAGCAGCTGATGACTTCGTCGAATATCTCACTCTCAGAGGTTTTAGCCAATGTCGTCCAAGAAGCTGGCGGGTCCGATTTGGACCACTCCTCCTCTAGCTCCTCTAAGGACTCGAACACGTTCATTGAACAAAGGCTCGATGGGTCTGAATGTGTTTGCGGGACGACAACGGAGTCAGTAGCTTGGCCCATCTCTCGAGATGGTGAGGGCGTGTCCACCAGCTTAACCCTAGCAGGAACAGCTACTATTCCTACTGGCCCGACGCATTTCCGGAGCAGTGCCAAAACTGCTGGCTACATTGCTACCAACGGGAGCGAAGGATCCCAACGCCTGCCCCATCGTAGACGGGATCTTCTCGGTCACCTTCTTATTACGGCACTTGAACTGATTATGGTCATATTGGCCACAACGGATACAACCCTGCCGGGTGTACTGGTCTCTCCATACATTCTCTGTTAGACCCGCTTTCTCCCATGGAGGAGCGTTGGGGTCAGCTTGACTCCTAGACCGGGAGCCTCCACGGCATCTCTGGTCGCCTTACCTTTCTGTACTGAAGCAGCGACTACTCCACCCCCTAAAGCCTCTACGCTGCCTGCCTCTGAACCTGGTCCCGCCTGGAAGTGGTCTTCCAACTCTATGGTAGAACCATCGTTGTCGACGAACATAATGCGACCCTTCGCCTTCCAGTTGGGAGGTAGTGACTTTTTCCTACCATCCGTTGTGGGTGTTTGTCAATGCCCTATCTTTGCCTCTAGGTCTAGGGCCTTCTTGCTGAACAAGGGGAAGTTGTGCGTGTTGATGTTGGCCTCACCTGCCCACTGATTCCTGAGAGGCAAAGGAAAGCATCTCAGGTAGGAGGTGAGTACAACATGGGGGTCATAGCGCACTCCAGGAACACAGATCAGATGCTCTACTGCGTTCGTGGCATCCCTTACCGACTTGAATTGTCTGTTGTTCGAAGTCAGGATCGCATCAGTGGCTTTTTTAGCCTCATGTGGATCATGCCACATGTCTTCCACCAGCTTAAGGAAGTCGTCCAATTTCTGGTTGACTGCCCAAGTGCGGACGTCATGACCGTATCCCTGTAGTTGCACTAAGCCACTCAACCATCTTGCCGCACTCCCCTCTAAATAGGACGCAGCCATAAGCATTTCCTCGTGCGACAAGGTAAGTTTACACTTGACATAGACTCGCACTGACCTCAACCATGTGTCGAGGTCTTCGCCCCTCTTGTCCCCTGAAAAAGGTTTGGGAGAGGCGATGACAGTCTTTGGAACCCACTAGGTTTATCCCGTTACCTGTCCCACTCCAGGCTGTGGACCTTGGGGAATAGGCGGTTGCACTAGCTGTTGCTGGGGCTGTGAACCCTGCGGCTGTGCAGGTTGCAGACAGCAGGCTGCCCGGTTACGGCAACCTGCGCCGGAGGTAAGGAATACATTGACTATATAGGAACCTGTACGCTAGGACCTCTTGAGAACCCTCCTGGGTCCTCACATCTGCATCCATGTCCGTCAAGTACATTCCCTCTAACTCACTAACGTCCGCTTGTCTCCGCCGCATCCTTGCTCTTCTTCTAATCATCTTTTCCTTCTCTGCCTTTTTCTCTCCTACAGCCTTCTGTAGTTGCGCCTCCTGCAGTGCTGCATCGGGAGTCAACATTATTGGCTGGCTTGCCATATGCTGGTGGACTGACTCAAGGTTTGTGCCCTCGTTGACCCTACGATCCCTGAACTGCTGGCCTGGGAACTCTGCTGCGCAGCAGTTGCCATGGCTGCTGAAGCAGCAGCTTCACTTGCGAATGCCCTGCTGGCCTTTGCTGCCCTAACTCTCCGCTGCTGCTGCTGCCTCTCCCTAAGCTGGCGGAACAGTAACCTGTCACC